CAGGGTCAGCGTTGGCCGTGGCTGCGGGAAATCAAACAGAGGGTGGGGGGCGGGTTGAAGAAGGGGGCAGGGTCAGGCAGCTGGCAATGCCCTATGTCCTGGCCCTGCCCCTTGAAAGATTAAGCCCCGCCTCCTTTCCACAAGCACACCCCCAGAGGGGATTTGGGGGGATCCCTAGAACAAGCCCCACGCCCTGGTTTTAGGTCTGGCCCCTCCCCTAAGCCCCACCCATTAGAGAAAGTACTGGGGATGGGGAAGGTGGTGCTTTCCCCCTCACCTGCTCTAGGCTCCACCCCCTAATGCAGCCACCTCCCCAAACCCCACCCCCAAAGGGCAGGAAAGTCATCTGCATGGGGAGGATGGTCCCCTCCCCATTCCCCTAGGCCCCACCCCCTACCCCATTTCCTGCTTGTACCTGGGTGATGATGAAGGTGGTGCCCTGCCCCTACCTGGGTGATGGTGAGGGTGGTGCGGTTGACCTGCTGGGCCTGCAGCGCAGCCTGGGCCCGGGCCTTGACCACGTGGGAGCAGAGCAGGGCGCCAAGGTGCCCGTAGTCAGCCTTGTAGGATTCCTGGTTGTCTGGTGGCGCCCGCAGCTTCGCCAGCACTGGCGCACAGTGCTTCTGCAACCGGGGTGAGGGGGGAGGTGGTTAGCTGGGGAAGGGAACCCAGACCAGGCAAGGGACCCCAGTTTCCAAGCAGGGAACCCAGGAGTCTGGGGAAGGGATCCAGACCCCAGGTCCCCCACCCTCACGCACCAGGAGCAGGCTCTGGACATGGTCAGCCCCGATGCGGTCGATGGTGCTGAGCACTGGCCCCTCCAGCACTGCGCGCACACGCTCACCCTCACCCGCCAGGCGCGGCAGAATCAGTGTCTTGATCACCTGTGGGTGGTTAGAGGGGCTCAGCTGGGCCTGTCACCCCTGTGACCTCTGACCTCTTGACCCTGCCCCCCACCCTGCACTCACATCAGGGCCCAGCTCCGCCAGCCCCGCGATGGACCCGTAGCGCGTCGTCCACGGTGTCTTCTCGTCCACCCAGCTCTGGGGGAGGGGCCAGTCAGCTTGGAGGCGCAGTCTCCTGGGAAGCCACACCCCAGTAGGCCACACCCCCAGGCCTGTGAGGGTTTGATTGGCTAGGCCCCGCCCCCTGGCCAGTGATGCAGGATTGGAAAGGGGTGAAGCCTTGCCCCCTCTCCTGGCTCCGCCCACTGGAAAAAGGTCTTGGTGATGCAGGATTGGATGGTTGGTGGTGGGTAGGGGACCCGGGAGCCTGGGGAAGGGACCCAGTGTCCAGGGAGGGACTCAGGAGTCTGGGCAGGGGAGCCCTGTCCCCCTCGGTGAAGGTCTTGGTGATGCAGGACTGAATGTTGGTGGACAGCCTTGCCCCTGCCCCTAGGTTCAGGCCCTATCCCATTTACAAGCCCCGCCCACCTTGAAGGTCTTGGTGATGCCCAACTAGAGGTTACTGGTGGACAGCCCTGACTCCACCCCAGCCCCGCCCACCTTGGTGAAGGTCTTGGTGATGCGGGACTGGATGTTGTTGGTGGTGGTGCTGAAGTTCTTGCAGACCTGAGCTACGAGGCGGGCGGCGAAGTCGCGCAGCGCCCAGTGGTTGTCCACATCTGGGCGCAGGCAGAGTTGGCGGCTCACGATGCAGGTCATCACGGCTGGGATCAGCTCATGAAGCTGCCAAGAACCCAGGTGTCTGGGACCCCAACCCTGCCTGGGAACCCAGGCATCTGGGTCCCCAGCCCCCCTGCTCCACCCCCCCAGAGAACCCAGGTGTCTGGCTCACGTATTTTTCCAGGTACAGGGTGGGGTTGTCCATCAGCGCCTTCACCATGCGCATGAGGTAGATGAGCAGCGCCAGATTGTTCTGCACCACATTCACCCGCACCTGGGGTCAGGGGTCAGAGGTCAGAGCATGGCCAGCCCCTTCCCACCCCCTCCCCCAGGAGGCAGCAGCCATCTCTGGGGGGAGGCATTGGTGGCTGGGTATAGCAGGGAAGGGAGCTGCAGCCACCTCTGGGGTAAGGCATTGATCTCCAAGTATAACAGGGATCTCCAAATGCAGCTGGCTCTGGGGGGAATGTTAACAGCCAAGTGTAACAGGCAGTTAACATGCTGCCAGCTCTGGGGTGGGGCAGTGGGGGCTGGGTATAACAAGGACCCCACAAATTCAGCTGGCTCTGGGGTGCAAAATTAACAGCCAGGTATAACTAGCAACAGAAATGCAGCGACCTCTGGGATGAAGCACTGACAGCCAAGTATAACAGAATGAAATGCAGCTGCCTCTGGGGTGGGACATGTTTCAGGCTGGTAATAACAAGCAGCTTAAATGCAATTATCTCTGGGGTGGGGTGTTGTGGACTGAATATACCAAGAACCCCCAAAGGCAGTTGGCTCTGAAGAGGAGCATAAGGGGCTGCACATAACAGGGACCTGACATGCAGCCATCTATGGGGTGAAGCATTAACAGCCCAGTATAACCAGCAGCTGAGATTCAGCCACCTGTGCAGTGGGGGTTCTGGGGCCTGGGTATAACAGGGACCTCCAAAGGCAGCTGGTTTTGGGCTGGGGACCATCAGTGGTAGCCAAGTATAACAGAGTGCTGAGATGCAGGTGGCTCTGGAGTGGGGGGGGAGGGGGAGGGGATGTTGCAGAATGGATAACAGGGACAGCCAAAGACAGCTGTCTCCGAGGCAGACACTGGGTAAACCAATCCCCACTGTGGCTGGCTCTGGGGTGCAACATTAACAACCAAGTATAACAAGCAGCTGAAATACAGCCACCTCTGGGGTAAAGCAGCGACAGCCAAGTATAACAGAGAGCTGAGATGCAGCAGGCTCTGTGGTACAGGTGTTGCAGGGTATAACAAGGCCCCCCAAAGGCAGCTGGCTCTGGGGGCAGCATCAGGGGCTGTGTAGAACAGAAACCTGAAATTCAAACAACCATGTCTGGGGTGAAACAATGACAACCCAGTATAACAGAAAGCTGAGATGCAGCTGGCTCTCAGGTGGGGTGTTGTGGGCTGGGAATAACAGGGACCCCTAATGCAGCTGGCTGGGGTGCAACATTAACAGCCAAATATAACAAACAACTGAAAGACAGCCACCTCTGGGGTGAGACGTTGACAGCACAGTATAACAGAGAGCTGACATGAAGCCACCTCTGGGCTGGGGTGTTACAGACTGGATATAACAGACCACCCCAAAGGCAGCCAGCTCTGGGGTGGATGCTGGGCTGACCCATGCCCAATGCACCCAGCTTTGGGGTGAAACAGCCCGCACTCACCCCCTCGGAGATGAAGGTGCTGAAGCGTGGCAGCATCTGGTAGAGCCCAGGGTCTGTGGCGATGCTCTGCAGGGCCTCCTGGGGGAGCACAGTCAGGCTGGGGGTGGTCCTGGGCCCCAGGGGCGGGGTCCAGGGATCCAGGGGGGAGCACTCACAGCGCGCTTAGCCTCGCAGGAACCCACGCAGGCCTCTGTGATCTCCTTGTAGTAAAGCTGCTGCTCCACTGAGAGCTCGTGGATGCTGCGCGGCTTCAGGCGCAGGGCCGCGCCCTCCAGCAACCCTCCCTTCTTCTCTTTGCCTGGGGAGCAGGGGGCAGGGTCAGCCAGGCCCTGCCCATGCTGTGCCTCCCGTTCCCGGGTCCCTCGCACTGACCCTTGGCGTCGGGGGCGGCTGCGCTCTGGCCCTTGCCCTTCAGGGCCCCATCGTCGTCCTGCCCCGGCTTTGCGGCCTTCAGGGGCTCTGTGGCCTCGGTCTTCTGCTGTTCCTTGGGGGCTGTGGGGGAAGGGGGATTGGAAATCGGTGTAAGGCTGGCTCTGGGGTGGGATTTTGCCTGGGAGTAACAAATGCAGCTGGCTCTGGGGTGAAACATTATCTGGGTGTAACGGGTGCGGCTGGCTCTGGGGTGGGCACCAGGCTGGGTAGAATGAGGCCTGGATGCAGCCAACTCTGCGGTGGGCGGAATGGGGCCTGATGCGGCTGGCTCTGAGGCGGGATGTTGACTGACTAGAACAGGGCCTGTTGTTAGCCACATCTGTGCATCTAGGTCAGTACAAGGCAGGTAGGGAGGGTACCGAGAAGTGGAAGGGGGGTTCTCTCACATGCCTGGGTCCTTGACTCACCGGGGGGTGGGTTCTCAGGGATGGCCGGCTGGACACCCTCGATGCTGAGCCAATGAGCTGCGGAGAGATGGACAAGTGGATAGGGTCAGAGGAGCTCTAGGTCGGGGGGGGGGCCGGGGGTTGGGGGCCAGGGCTCACCCTTGAGGCACACGTCCAAGGGCACGCGGGGCAGG